CTCAATCCTGATTGGGCTTAACGTGAAGTTAGAATTGGGGAAGCACATGGAGGCTGGGCATTTTTAAAAAACACTTTTTCGCGGGTTAGTTTAGAAACACCCAGTTTTAGGACTAAACCAGAGCTAGAAAGGAAAAGAAATAGTTGAGACTTGTATATCTCAATTGTAGGTGGGAATTCTGAGACTGAGCTATTTTGAGAGGGTTGAATTCAAAAGGAGAATTTCCTGGTGTTATTTGAAAGTACTCTAATGAAAAGGAATACCATTTTGAGAGCTTTTGAAGAAAATGACTTGAAATAAGAAGGTGGAAACAGTTATCTAAGTTCAGGTAAGTTTCCTGAGACAAATTTAGTTCTGTTAAACACTTTGGCTAATGGAGAGGTCCAACTACCAGTCCTCAGAATGGATTAGATTAGCTTTGGAGAATGATTTCTGAAGCAACTCTATAGGGAAGAGCCAGAGAGGCTGAAACATGGGGCCATGTTTGAAAGAGCATAAGCTTTGGATCTATTTGGTGTCGCAGACATCTTTTCTGCTTTGCACTTGAAACAAACCTAGGAAGGAAATGGCAGGGTGGAGAACATGGAGTTTTGGGAATAGAAGCCCTGCCATTGCGTCTGGTGGCCATGAAAGCAGAACCACTCTGATGAACACTCTGAACAGAAATAAGGTGGGAGAGGAAGATAAATACCAGCTGGACAATTGAGAACATGCAACCCAGCATTCCACCCTGACAGAAAATAGCAGATGAGCCCCAAACCAAACTTCTAAAACCTAAAAGTGATAGATACAGCTGTTGGGAAACATACTTAGCACTGGGAAAAGTTTGGCTCTCAAAGAACAGCCGTGTAGCTGATCTGGAAATGAAGGGGAGATGGCCTTTAAACATCAGGCTGACCCTATTCTTAGAGCTCAACTAGAGGACAGAAGAAGAGGATAAAACCATGCCCTTAATGTGGTAGGACTAAAACCATGTTTACCCCCTTACGCTATCGTCATTATATTATAATTAACCATTCATTTCTCTGTGTGGTAAATAACAATGCTGACACGGTCACAAAATAATGTGAAGCATATGGGTCACAACTGTTTTTAACTAAAGACTTCTCTAAAGATTTATTTAGGTTCCTTAATTACAGAGTGGCTTGGAAGACTGGCATGTGGTTTCAGTTTATAGTTATAAATGTTGGAGCTGATGATGGGTACGTGCTCATATTGCCAGAAAGGGAGAGGAACAAGATTGGGAGGGGGATTCGTGTTCTTTGGGAGCCTCCCTCTTGCCTTTTTTTTTTTTTTTTTTTAAAGAAAGTGAAGATCTGTGTTTATAAGAAATAAGTGTGATGACATTTATACTGTCCTTGAGATGGGTATGCCAGTAGTTACAAGCCAATTTTTCCAGTACTTTAATTGGTAAATTTTCATGTCACTTTGAACTCAGTGGCTCTCTAGAATCCTGAAAAAATAAATCCCTTTTAGCTTTTGTCTGCTATTAAAATTATACTCTCTAGGCCGGGCGCGGTGACTCAAGCCTGTCATCCCAGCACTTTGGGAGGCCGAGACGGGTGGATCACGAGGTCAGGAGATCAAGACCATCCTGGCTAACACGGTGAAACCCCGTCTCTACTAAAAAAATACAAAAAACTAGCTGGGCGTGGTGGCGGGTGCCTGTAGTCCCAGCTACTCGGGAGGCTGAGGCAGGAGAATGGCGTAAACCCAGGAGGCGGAGCTTGCAGTGAGCTGAGATCTGGCCACTGCACTCCAGCCTGGGTGACAGAACAAAACTCCGTCTCAAAAAAAAAAAAAAAAAAAAAAAAATAAGTATTCAACTTAGGTTCTTTGACTTAAAATGAACTCACTACAGGGTCATTTGGTGATCTTCCAAAGCCGTGTGTGTGTGTGTGTGTGTGTGTGTGTGTGTGTGTGTATGTATGTATGTGCCATATATGTTACTCATTTTTTAAGTAATTTTGCATTATTTTGGAACCAGTGGTAAATATAATGCAAAGTTGTAGTCTTGGGAGCATGGGAAAAAGGTCTGTATTCAACAATACATAAAGAATTCAGTGAATATGTATTATATATTGGAAAACATCTTTTGTGTTTGCTGTAATGTGTTTTCCTACATTTCTTGCCAATGATGATAATGAAAGTGGCATCTCGAAATATTGTCTGGACATTGGAGGAGCAGCAGGGGAGGAAGGCTCATCAAAAAATCTAAGCAATGCTTTCCTTCCCTGCATGAAGGTCATAGAAGAAATGAATTTCCCAATGTTTATCCTTCTTCGTGGAGCTCACTCCAGTAGAGACTTTGCCACTGCTTCGAGAGAATCCACTCATTCATCCATCCCTTCATTTATGACTTGGTGTCGGTTACATTTCATGTTTATGTCTCTGTGGCATAAACATGGCATAAAGATTAATTAGAATGGCTCTGCCCTAGAGGAGTTTATATTCTGGTAGGGAATAAGAAGGTGTGTACATAACTAATTATAACACTGAAAGATTTTCTGACATTTATTCAGAGCTTTATAACTTTCAAAGTGCTTGTATGCACTTTTATTTGGTCTTCTAAAGTATATGACTACATTCTCCATGTTGGAGATGAAGACACTGAAGTTCAGCCATGGTGATGACTTGCTTGAAGTCAAGTAGGTGTTGAGATACATCTATAGGACCCAGGGAATTGCATCCGAGATGTTTTCTGCCTCTGTGTTCATTATTTTCCACGATCCCCATTATGCAGTGGTGCACAGACTGGGGAATAAGAGAATATGAGAGAAGGTTAAGGCCGCAAGCTGCTGTGGAACTTGAGCAAGGCTTTGGTTGTGTAGAGAATGGTTGAAAGGGCTTTGAGAGACAGAAAGAGATCAGTGTACATTGTTCAAAGGAACAAGCTAGAACAACCTGTTACTCAAAAAAGACCCTAGTGTCAAGATCTTTTTATTACTTTTTTTCTGTCTGTCGTTTTTTTATTCATACATCATGCAACAAATGTACTTAGAGTATACAGTACTTAATATATGCAGGGCAGCAGACTCACTGATACGAGGGTTACAAAGTAAGACTAGGGGTGGCTATCCTTGAGATTCTCACAGTAGGTCAGTTGGAAGGTAAGATACGCTGGCAAATAACTGTAAGAGAACATGATGAGAGAGGGAAGAACGTGATTCACAGTATTTCTGGGTTTAAGTTATGACTCTTCTGAGAATGGGATCACGGGCTTCTCATGTCATCTCTTAAGACCATGTTTCTATAAAGAGGCTAGCATTTAATTTTGCAGATCTGTGTTGAAGAGTAAGTCCAATTGTGAATCCTAGGACACTTTACTGGGCTCCTGGCACATCGAAGGTGTTCAGTAAATTGTCATTATTTATGGTTCCGTATGCCTTTAGAAGAAAAGCCAAAGTCCTTGACTGGTATGAACAGCTCTCTGTGATCTGGTTGGCCAAATGTACACTATTCCTGTATCCCAGTCCTTCACCAGTCTCCTGCAGACTGGTTGCTCTCGCATGCACCCTTATCACCCTGTGGTCTGTGCAAAATGCAGAGGTGCTATATCCCAGTGGTCAGTCTCAGGCATTAACTCTGGCCCTGCTGTGTCACACTGGCAGTGGACCTCAGCAAGTTATGCCTTTGCTTTGTGCTGGTCTTATTGCGAGATTTAAAATGACTAAATGTAAAGAGCTTGGAGGCAGTTCTGATACATGGTAAATGTGGATATTATTAATTCTAATTACCGTCTGACTTTGCTACTGGCTGTTTATCATCCTGCGCTGAAGCTTCCTGTCAGCTCTTTTGTTTTTCATTTGGAACCTGCCTATCTCTCTCCCCAGCTCATCTCTTATCCTCTCTTCATTATGCTTTGCTTTGCCTTCCAGCTACATGGAACTGCCCATTATCCTTCACCCCACCTGATGTTTTGGCCTTTATTTTTACCTAAAAGGCATTTGTCTTGCTCATTCATTCTTTAGGACTGAGTTTTCTACCTCTTGAGTTTCTCTGAGTCCAATTTCCACCCCTTTGAGATTTCTGTCTTGCTCTGCAATGCTTTGCACATACCTTTATTATTGGGCTTAATGTATTGGCTCCATTTTCTCTGTCTCTTTCTTTCCTGCTTTTGACGGAGAACTCCTGAAAGAAGGGGTCGAGCATTACTTGTCTACATTCCCAGCTTGTTCTTGACACATAGTAGACTCTCAACAAATACTTGTTAATAAATGAAGTGAGGACTTTACCTATTTTAAATTAACTTATCGTCAGAATCATTTTTTCAATTAGCTAGAAGGGGCAAAATTTACTTTAGTAAATTTTGAAGTGGGGAAGATCAACAGGAGCACTGCCCTGGCCTTACTTGATAGAGGCCCTTTGCCATCCTAAGGCAGGGTTTGAAGTTTGGGAGGCTTGGGCCGGACAAAAACCCTGGCAAACCCAATTTTGCCTCTGATGGATCTTAGAGTTTCAGTCATTTGTTTGTAAAGGCAGTAGTTCTGTATTTAACTTATTGTAGTTAAACACAGCTATTTGGTATTTGATAGTATTTTTCTAATGTTTGAAAAGATTTTTTCCCTCCACTATATTGAAACTTCAGTGTATTGTCCTGAAAAATCTCAATATCATCCCATTTTAGACATGTGGTGTAATGTTTTCTCCTTGTTTGTCTGAGTTACCTGGATTTTAGTTTAACAACCCATAAATGTAGCTTGCTGGGTTTATAAATAAATAAATTATTTATTTATTTATTTAAATAATAAATCATATCATTGGAGTACAATAAAACAGTACTATTTTGGTTAATAGAGAATACATGGAGGAAGGTAACATGGGCCACAAAGGATGGGTTTATTTGTTTATGGATTTTAAGAATTAAAGGGAAATAAAAGGTGATAGCTTGCTTTCCCTAAGCATATCACAGTAGCCCTTTAAGAAGCTTGTAGTTCCATCTGATAAACACATAATAATGATCTGAATTCTAAGGACTTTTTTCCCATTATCCCCTGCAGCTTTGCCCTTTCGGATGAAGCATACAGATCCCTACGAGATCAAGATAAGGACCAATGTATTCTCATTACTGGGGAAAGCGGAGCAGGAAAAACAGGTAAGGCTCTTACCAAGCAACTCTGCAGAAGGTAAATGACAGAATGACAACAGCAAACAAAGAATGACAACAGCAAAGAGGAGAAGTGGGGCCTCCTTAGCAAGATCTGTCACAAGGCCACTGTGAGGGTGCTTCTGCAGGAGGATACTGGTTAGGATCACAGAATGTTCTCTGGACTCCCCAGAGAAACAAGGTGCCTATCCAAGGGGATTCCAACCAATATGAAGTCTAATGCTGGATGGTGCAAGATCTTTTTACTTTTCTCCCAAGACATTAAACCTATGTGCTCTTGCAGATTCAAACTGCTTCCCCAAGAATGCCAATTTATTTAGGTTTTAAGAGAGTACAAACACACTCTACCTTTGCTAAAAAGTGAGGGAAGGTACCAGGAAAATGCTAACATTTTACTCAAGAGTTTTCCTCTGAAGCCTGAAGAATTGAGATTTTTATATGTATTTTTTAGACCTGGCAAGCTTTGCATAAAACAACCCTCCAAATGGGAGGGTTATGCTTTTTACCCCTTGCGCTTTTAATAAATGCAATTCATATGATTGGTGGTCTTAAAATAAGACATAATATACAATGGGAAAGCACACCACAGCAAACCAAGGAAAAGAATCAGAAGAGTCCCCACATTCCAGAATCCACTTAAAAGGATTAAAGCTGCTTTGTCCGTGGTTTTTTTTTTTTTGTTTTTTTTTTTTTTTTTTTTGAAAGCTGATGAGTCTGTGGGAGGAGGAGGATGGTGAAGAGGACGATGGTATTTTCATAAGGTTTCATCTGTAAAATGCTTTTTATAGATAAGATCTGCATAATCTGGTCAATTCTTTTAGTATTCAAAGGTGGGATTTTAAACGTTTCTATTCCTGCGTGGCTGTTTAGGTTGTCCACATTTACAACTTTTGAGTTTCCAGTGATCAATGAGAAGACAAATCTGCCATAGGCTGCTGTGAGCAGCGCACCGAATCCATTTTATTCACAAGCTCTTAGAAAGATTTGTGCCTTGAAAGGCTCACTATCTGCATGGAAATGGTTTTCCTTCTACACCTACTCTTTCCTCCACTTTCCTTAGGAGTAACTCCTCCCTCTACCCCATGCAGCTGAAGAAAGAGTGGTTAGATGAGTGTGTCCAGCCTCCTTTCTTGAGCCCTTTGGAGACAATGAGCACCATTGTTTTGCAGGGCTAGGCAGGTTCTAGGCTCTAGGTGGTCAGAAATGAAGGGAAAAGGATTGGCATGTAAGAGCCTTAGGTAACAGAAAACATGGTGTCATATTGCTGAAGGGATTTTAGTTGTAAACCATCTAGTTTAGGCTCCTCTACATGGGATAGCCAGACTTCTTTTGTAGTAATGAAGTCTCACCGCTTTGAATGGCACCCCCCTGGAGTTGTTGTACAGGTTCAGCTAACAAAAATTCTTCCTTACCTAGAGTTCAATTCTGCCTCTACCCATTGGTCTTCAGTCTGCTATCTGGAACTTTACCATATTAGTCTGCCTTATCCTCTACAGGACAATCACTCAGTTATTTGAAATCAACCATTTTATCTTCCTAGGGCTAAAAATCCCTTTTCTTCAAATTTTCTCATTGTCTACAGATTGACTTATTCATTCATCCAGAAAAAAATTACTGAGTACCAACTTGGTGAAAGGTACTGTACTAGGGACATAGACACTGACCTTGCCCTTATCACATTTAGTTTAGTAGGGGAGATAAACAATAGCTCTTTGCATAGACATATATGTATGCACCTATACATACAAATTACATGCAAAACATAAGTGGAGTAAAGGAAAATCACATGGTGCTTATGAGAGTACATTACAAGAAGAATTGGATCTTACACATATCTCATTGTCTTGGTCCTGTTCTGGAAACATCCTAATTTGTCAATATGCTTCATGGAATTGCATACCAAAAAGTAAACAGAATACTTGAGATTTGGTCCTGGTTGTGGTGGAACTCTTATCCTTCTTTTTCTTTTTGAGACAGAGTCTCGCTCTTGTAGCCCTGGCTGGAGTGCAATGGCACAATCTTGGCTCACTGTGGCCTCCACTTCCTGGGTTCAAGTGATTCTCCTACCTCAGCCTCCCAAGCAGCTGGGATTACAGGTGCCCACCACACGCCCAGCTAATTTTTGTATTTTTAGTAGAGACGGGGTTTCACCATGTTGGCCAGGCTGGTCTCGAGCTCCTGACCTCAGATGATCCGCCCACCTTGGCCTCCCAAAGTGCTAGGATTACAGGCATGAGCTACCGTGCCTGGCCTGTTATCCCTCTTAATGTGGACCCTGGGCTTCTATTAATATAAAGCATGTATTGACTCATACAGGTCTTTAAACCAAGTAAGATATTACAGGATTTTTTTTTTTTTTTCCACAGTAACTTCCATTAGGTCAGATCTGCTCAATCTAGTATTGATTAACAAAATTATTTTAAACTTACATGTAGAATATTGTATTTATTTTTATTAGTTTTGGTCCATTGTTATAACCTCTTGAGAAGCTGACAAATGCTGATTCTTTCCCTTCTCTTAGGATTGCTGTCATTTTGCTGAGTAATAATGATACTAGCTAACCCACATTCAGCACTTACCACGTGCTGGGCAGTGTGCTTATTTACATGTATGAGATAAGTATTTTTGTTATTTCAATTTTTATGATGGGAAAATAGGAACACAGAAACGTTAAGCAATTTGCCAAAACTTATACAGTGAATAAGTGGCAAAGCTGGGATTTTGAATGCAGGTAGTGTAGTCCTAGAGTCCCTGCTTTTATCCACTGTACTAAGCTGCATCTCTGTACCTTGAACATGGTACAGAGTAGTTCTTGAACATGGTTCTTTCTGAGTGCCATACACTTTGCCCGTGTTGGTAAGTCTCCTTCAGCTAGCTTCCCATGACTTCTTAAGGGATGGATTTTGTATTGTATTTCTACCAGCTAATTTAATGCCTGCCATACAGTAGGCAATCAGTACATATTTGAATAATTGAATGAACACCATGCACTAATCCAAGGAGCCAGCCTCCTGTCTTTATTTAAGTAATTGACAAAAACACTTAACAGACCGGGCCAAAGACTGATGTGTATGAAAATTGCCAGGTCTCATTTAAAATATAAGTCTATCTTACTAAAAATTAGTTGATTTGCTTAGTTCTGGGTATCTTTATCTTTCTCTACTTATTTCCTTAGGCATTCTCAACTATTCAATAATGTTAATGTGTTCTACATTTATACTTCTAATTAAAATACCTCTTGGCTGATCTCCCATCTAATGTATTTACTGCCTGTCTCACATCTCCACTTGGGGTCTCACATGCATCTCAGACTAAGCATGTACAAAATGGAACTCTTGATTTCTGTCTTTACCCTCCTATAACCAACCTTTCTGATCTCAGTAAATGAGACCACTAGTCAACCTAGTTATCACACTAGAAATGTTTGTTATCCATGATTTCTTCATTTCCTGTATTTCCCACATCAAATCCATTTCTCAATTTTGTCAGTTCTGGCTCTGGAATATATCTCATACCAGGCTCTCTCTTCCTTTTCTTTTTGTCCATATGGACACTCACAAGCCACCTACCGTTCTCTCTCGTGAGGATTATTTGTAGCAATGTCTAATGGGTTTCTCTCCTTTCTCTCTTGATTACCCCTAATTCCATTTTACAGACCCCAGTCTTTGCTTGTTCAGATCTCTCTCTCTCTCTCTCTCTCTCTCTCTTTCTCTCTCTCTCTGTCTCTGAACCTGTGGGAAACTTTACAGGACATGGGCATCTTGAGAAAATGCTTTTACCCCTTCCATGTCACTAACCAGTTCTTTCAGGTGAAGCAGTTTAATTCTTAGCAGCAGTACAGCTTTTTGTTTGTCTCCAGGTTGACCAGTGAAAATGGTGGCAAGGCAAGTTAGAAACTCTGTTCCTTGCTGAAGGCATTTGTACTGATGCTGTATCTCATGCTCAACCTTCCCCCCGTTCTGTTTGACTCTATTTACAAGCACACATATTCACTTCATATTGCTTCATTTTTATTTTCACTTGGAAGAAGAAAAGAAAATATTCCTAAGCCTCTTTCATCCTTATATTCTTTAGCTTTTTAGTCAGCCTTCTTTGTGACTAATGATTTTTTTAGGATATTCTAATTGTATCAGTTCGTTCCTAAATGAGTCATCAGAAGTGGGTTGCGGTCATTGGTTTGATGGGTCTTGGCCAATTCTTCGTCTCCTCTGGAACATGTGTTCTGAGGAGACAGCACATCCACTAATTAGCTATGTCAGTATGTGACATCCGCCTTCTCAGAGAGTTGTTAACACTACTACTTCCTCCTGGAGCCAGATTCCATCTCCTGGTGGGCTCATGTATCTTGCTGACTGAAAAACTGAGTGGAGGTTGTTAGTGCTGTTTCAGAGGATTGGCATCCATTTTTCTTAGGAAAAAAATAAACACTACCCTATTTCTCTGGTAGAACTCTAGTAGTAGAATGGAGTTCATTCTTCTTTTTTGTAATCGTCTCTTGATATTTTTCTGCTTGACAATTTGTCCTGTTGGTTTCAGTGCCCAAATCACCACATGAAATCCTCTTCTCCTTGTCATCTTCCCTGGACTTAGTCCTTCTGGGGATCCCGTTGCCCTTTGTCATAAGCTGGAAAATGGACAGTGCTTCCCAGGGCTTGTCATCCTTTCCTCTGGTAGGGCCATTGTGTTTCCAGCACATAGAATTAGGTGCTGCTTCAGGGAGGAGGCTGGAGGAGGGTACAACAGAGACCCTAGAGCATTGCTTCCCAAATCTGCGGTGAAGCACCAGTTCCAAATCTCATGTTCATCATTACTAGAAGAATGAAATAATAGACAAAATAGAGCATTTAAACCTTAATTTTTTCTTTTAGTTTCAACAGGCAAAACAACCAACTAAATTACTACAGAAACTTTTAAAAGCCTACTTGCATGTGTAGATCAGTAATAGTCTGTGGATTGACCAACATTGAATCGTGCTGGTCCTTGGACCA